GTCCCCGTCCTGGGCCAGCCCAGAAACGAGCGGGCGGCCGGAAAGAGAAGAAACAGAGAGGACGGCTTCTCTAGGAGAGGACGGCGGCTGCCGCAGCTCTGGTGTGGACTCTTAACGACACAAACGCGTTTTTTAAGGGAGCCCAGGGAAGGGGGCGAGGGCAGCGCGTTGGAGCTGCGGCCCCAGGGCTTGGCGTGTGTGAGTGTGAGTGTGTGTGTGTGAGTGTGTGCGCGCGTGCGTGCGCTGGTTGGTGTTCCAACCGCGCAAGGTGCCCTCACGCGCCGCCTAAACTTCATCTTGCGAAGAAACTGAATCCGGCCCAGCGACATGTCCAAGGTCACGGAGCGGGAAGGTCGATTTCACGCTTCTGCACTGACTCGAAACCGCCCCAGATCTCATTTCTTTCAGTCGTGGGAGAGATGAGTGGTAGTTGATGCTCTGTGTGCGTGTGACGAGATGAATTAAAACGCCATGGAGACGGGAAGTAGGTTAGTGGTTGCTAGGGAGTTGGGGGGAGGCGACGAGGGGCAGCTAACGCATAGGGGTTTCTTTTGGCGGTGACGAGAATGATCCGTAATTTGACAGTGGTCATGGATGCACAACTCTGAATATACTAAAAGCCACAGAACTGTGCACGTTAACTGAGTGAACTTTTTAGTATGTGGTTTGTACCTCGAGAAAGCTCTTCCAGAAATATATTGAGAGAGAGCGCTATGAGGGAAACCCATAGAAGCACGTGACTGGAGCATGTCACCGTTCTGTTCTTTGTGGGTAGAAAATGTGTGTGCATACACCCAATCATTCATTCATTCATTCATTCAGTAAACCATGTCCACTCTGGCAGGGCTACAAAGATTAATAATGCATGGTCTGTGTTGTCAAGGAGTTGCCAGCCTATTGAGGGTGAGGTCATTATAATGAAGAGGCACCTGTGACTCCAGGATGGTAAGCAAAGTGTCAGGGTTAAGGTACAAGACCTAAGGATGAAGGTTGGCAAGTCGTGAGGGGCTGGAGTACAAAGTTTGTTCTATTTTAACAATGGCCGATGTGGCCCATTATGAGGAGCGTGACATGAGGTGAAGCTGGACTGTTACTCATAGAACAAAATATCCCCATGGACTAGAGCTCAGTTCAAGAGTGGCGGCCGAATGGTGATCTGAAAATTTAAATTGCTCTGGGTCTTTCCCATTCCTTGTACAGTGCGTTATTTTGGTGAATGGTCTTAATCTAAACCCAGTTTCATCATCTCCTAAGGGCACAATCGAGTCACTAGCTGACCTTCGTTTCTACCTTTCTAGAAGGCTTTCTTGCCTTCTCTCCTTGGAAGCTGGAGAGGTGAGGGGATGTGTTCAAGGCCTTATGCCTTCTAAGAGATAGAGCTGGGATAGACTTCCACTTCTTGGCTGTGAGTCCCACATTCTTGACATTATCAGCCTTTTGAGTTGTGAAGCTTCCTTAAATGTGCAAAGAACTCTGCAGCTAATAAAGCTTTCTAAGCAGCAGAAAATGAAACCTGTTTTTACACTTGGAGTTGATCTCCTTTTGGATTGGGAAGTAGGAATATTATAGGCCCTAAGGGGGGAAAAAACCCCCACAACTACTGATCTCCTTAGCTCTTCAATTGGATCTGTGCAAGAAAATCCTGGATTCTGGGCTTTATAGTAAAAAAAGAAAGTGGCTCTGCCATTTGAAAGCTGGACGCTACCTGTTTGTACTGTTAGTATACAATTGTCAGCATACCAACAGCCCTGGCCTTTTCCTCCAACTTTCTTTCCATCGCTCATGGCACTGTGAACCCCTTTGGAAAGCAGGTCCTGTGCTTTGTTAATTTCCTTACTTCCCCTCTCCACACTGCATCCCTATCCATCCTCTCGGGAGCCCTTTCTCCACACT